ATATTTTATGATCACTGGTAGGTAAATCTTCACGAAAGGTAATTCAGCCTACTGGTACACATTTGTACTTCAGTTTCGGTGGCCTGAATACCCTCCGCGAGGGGTATCCCCCACGTGAGCTGTTGCTCCCGCGAGGTTCAGATGGGTTCTGAGGGTGGGGGATCCTGGTAGGAACCTATGGGACAGTATTCGCAGTAAAGAGAATTAGTTAGGGTGTAGTAACAATATTGGAAAATCATTTTTTCTTATTAGGAATAACGATGAGGATATCTGCTGACATATTCAGGGCCGGAAAAAGGAAACATTAAATGTGACCATGCTGACGGCTTTTCCAAATCGTCTTTTTGCTTATACGTAGTACAGTATCCCCGCATCATACTTTACATACAACATTTTTAGTCAAATGAGGAAATTACATTACTGTCCACCGACGCACTGATGGAAAAAGTATATAATTGAAGAAAAAAAAGGAGCATTGCCGAAGTTCCGCAGATAATTTTCCCCGCATCTCGGAAGACGTAAATACAATTCCAGGTTTAAATTTCAATTCCTGAAACTGAGTTGGCTCCACAACTCCCGATTTGAAAATACTGTACAGCACACTGCCTGATCTGATGGGCTTCCCGAAATAATGACCAAGTTTTCCGCACATACCTCTTTCGTGATGGGGCTTCCGTGTGTTGAGCCATGGAGCACGAAGTCCTCGTTCCTCAAGAACACAACGCCTAGGTCCACAAAGGAAACTCGAATCTTTGTCGTGAGAGCCGGGATGGTGTGTTCCGTGTCCTGCTGGTCCGAATCCAACAAAGAAACTCGAACCGAGGCCTCGTCTGAGTCCGGCGTTCCAGCCAGATGCACGTAGCGAACCCGTCCACTGCCCAGTTCCCATCTGTGTATATAACACGACAAAAAATAAAAATAAAAATAAAAACAGCGAAGAAGGAGGGAAAAACGAGTGCGAAGGAATCCAGGGAAATAAAATTAGGAATGATTCAGGAAGAAAAGAAAAAGTCCAGTGCATGCCATGCTGCGACGAGATCCTATTAATGGAATTCGCCTCCACGGCACGCATAGCTTCAAAAGGACCTCTGCTGCATGTAGTTCATGTGAAGCACAATAGGGATTCCTGATATAAAAAATCGATGAAAAAAAAAAAAAAAAAACTGAACAGCCTTCGATGGAAAATATAAGTCGACGAAACGTGACATCAAGCACATAATTAAGTCGGGCAATAAATTTATAAAGCGCATACTTTTTTTTCAAAATAAATGCAATCCCTCTGAAGTTGATTGAATAGATAATCGAAGCTTATCATTATTCAAACAAACCCCCCCCCCACATAATTTCTTTTGGGATATACCTGGGTAGCATTCGAGGCGGTAGGCTGATAAAATCTGGAAAATTTTTTAGTTGCGAACTAATCACAAAAAAATGTATAAAATGTTATATTCCCGGAGCGAGTCATTGTTAGGGCATCAAGTCTACCATGACAAAAGATGATGGAACGTGTACAAAAATGTGACATAACGATCTGCACCACCGTAGCTTCGCTTTCGTTCACAAAAGTACATTCAGCTGTAACTTCAATTTTCGATTGCATAAATCTCAAACTGGTGTTGATAATCAAACTTATCATAATTTGCATATCTGGTATTATTTTCCAAAATAACCGGTGGTTATTGTAGAAATAATCCGTCTAAATGCCTTCGAAATCATACATGGATGCAAATTATTTCGCATCGAAACCCTTCAGAGCAGTTTCCGCAAACCAATGATTTTTGTTGTCAGGCAACAATATTTTTGCGCTCGCAAAAATATCATACTGTACTGTATTTGAATTCATGTTGAGTTTTTCAAAATTCGTCATAGCAGTAACGAGTCCCAATGGCCAATTATTTAAATTTACCGATTGTTAAGGAGGAATATGCACAAATTAATGCTGTATTGGAATGTGAAAACCCAGCTTTTTACAAACTGACTCAAGCTTGACAAAAATTGGTTAATTTTTGCGGCGATGAGCCTCGGATGATTGAGGTGCGTGTTGGCCAGCAGAGCATTTTTGATGAGTCTTATTCTGTGGTAATGCGGGTGTTAGATGAAACTAATCTGAAAGAAATGAGCTTTAGAAAGATTTAAAATTATTGGAATTCAATGAAGAGACCCTTTCTGAAATCTTCAAGGATCAAGATAAACTGTTGGCCTTATATGATTTATTATCAAAGATTCTCTCTAAATTTTTCATTCAACTGAACCTCATCCAGAAATAAGCTGAAGACCTTGTGCTTTAAATTAATTGTTACTGATATTTTGTTTTAAATGTCAGGGAAGGAATGGGCATATGCATACATGTCAGATGTCTGGTTGTATTTTGTGGATTGTATTTTCTTTCATTTTTGTTATCCATTCGTGCTCTGTTTCCTGCTCTGAAGTGATTAAATGTCTTTGAGTTGATTTGGGTTGGATGGGGAGGGGGTTAGGATGTGGAAATCTTGATTGATCCTTGTGAATGCTGAAAAGCAGAAAATAAAGCATTCTGTTCATTCATTCACTAATCTACTAAATTGCTTGACATCTTCACGCCCATTCTTGATGATAATTGCCATCATTTTTGCAAGGTTTTCTCTCTCAAATTTACCTGTGCATGCAGTAGTGGCATCGACAGGGTTTGCGAATTTCCATGCGTAAATTGGTGTTTTTTCGCGAAGTTCTCAAACCAGCTTTTACGCAGTTCGATTCGATGCTTCAGAGAACAAGTTTTCTTCATGCTCAATAATACTTCATTAGTTGGGCTAATATTGGAGGACGGATCGACTGCATCGCAAAAATAAGGCGGCGTTCTTGCTTTTTCGCTCGTTTAGGCAAAAACTCTCGATTCGTGCAGCGGAAGTGAAGGGTAAGGCATTCCACGGAACGAGGAAGCATTTGGCCGTAAATGAGATTCGATATCGTGTGGTATATGCATTTCCCCCCTCTCTTGCCCTGTTTCATAATCCGACCTCTTCACCAGCAGAACGTGGAAAAAAACAAACAAAGCATGTAATGAGCAAAAAGATTGATGGGGAATCTCCCTCAGAGGAGAAAACTTTTGCCTTGTGCCGCAAAAGAGTAGCCGGTCGGGCTTAACGATCAGCCGACATGAAGGTTGCATCTTCCCATGTTCCTTTTTAGTGCTGCTGCCTATGAAGGAAAGAATGAGCCATTGAATCCGCACACGACCTCCAAAGCGTTTCTTGTGGGCGTGGTTCTGCCACAAACTTTTCGAGGAATAGAGTGGCATCGCACAAGACATATTTTTTGCAAACGGAAACAAGCCATTCCTCAACGACAACAAAAAAAGCTAATGAGATCAAGGCATTTCTCATCTCACCGAAAACACTGTTTCACGTGAAATTAGACAGGTTGGATCCATAAAGTCATTTCCGCACTTATATTCCCCAACACCTTCCGAAATAAAACGGGACGTAAAACCGGTACTTTATCAAGGCAACGAACAGTTCCGTCGTTTATTCAAGGTTTGTTGTTCGCCTCAGGGCCCGTTTTTGCTGAAGAAAAGAATTGGTTCATCGTAGTATAGCATTTATTTTTTGAGAAATTCCTCGGGTGAAACAATTTTTTTTCAAGGTTCCGAGTGAATTGCACTCAGTTTTTTATTCAAGTAATCAAGTTACATCTCAACTTTATTGAAATTTTATCATTCAAATGCATGGTTTTGACACTTTTATGACACTTCATGAATATAGGGAGCACCTGAATATCTGATGACTTACGCTAAATAGAACCCGTTTTCTGAAAAAGAAAACTGCTAGCAAAGTACAGGTATATCGACATACGAAGAAAATATTGTTATGCCTTACTTCTTCGGTGAAAGTGAAAAAAGTTATTAAAATTGAAAATATATTTTTTCCCGAGAGAATCAAGGATATATTAAATTATAGAACCAGAAACTGTCCCGAAAAACCAAATCGATCTTGTACAGCGTCTTTGCCGTAAGTCCGTGACGAAATAAATAATTGAAATTCAAGAATTGCAATATAATTTCAGCGTGCACAGAAATAATCTTACAGCCCACAACTATTTCACCGACTCTCCAACGAGTCCGGTTTTAAAACTCGGAAATAGACCCATGTAATTATTCCGCCCAGGGATTGTAAAAGATGCATTCCATCTGCTGCGGAACAGGAAAAAATTGTTCGAGTGCAGTACTAAAATGTGATATAACTTGGAAATAGCCCATTTCGCAGCTCCACTAACGACTTGCATGGCTGGTTTACAGTATCCAGCTCTGTTCGTCACGCATCGTCCTCAGAAAAGCGCTCATCAGCAAGCCATTTACGGGGACCGTCGGGCTGGTATGAGGATGTTTTGGATCTTCCCGCGCCAAAATGACACGCTGAATTTGCACTTCAGGACCATCACTACCACTCGTCACCACATCTTAAAAATACTGGAAGGTTATGCAAATCCTCGAGCTGCTTTGACGGGAATGACCGATGCAAAAATTCGACTCGAGGGTGCGAAGAGAGCAAAAGAATTCTCGAGATTCTCGTCTAAATTTCTTCAGCAACGAAAACTATTTTTATATTAAATTTTTGCGGAAAAACAATGGAGCGAGAGCCATGATAATCGTTTTTAGTTGACGCGTTGAAGAAACATCAGCATTTTAAACAAAAACTGATACTTACACAAAACTTTTTTGCATTTACCGTATAATCAGAATAAAAACGATCACAACGTAACTTTCAGACGAATTTAGCTTGAGAAACTTTCTCCAACGTTGATTTAAAATTTTAAATAAAGCCGAGCTTCTCACCCAGTGCCACTGAAATAACATTTAAAATCACGAATGATACAAATAAACTCAGAAAGATGCTCGATGTTAATGAGAAAGAAGGAAGATCAAAAGCACTTAAAATGTAAATCAATGTAAACATAATCAAAATTAATTTTTCAATTCTTAGGGACCACATCCGATTTTTCGCAATGCATATAGGCTAGGCCTGACCTCGGGTTGTTCAGACATTTTTTAAATGTTGAAAATACTGTAATCTCTCATCAAAACGCCGAGGTGGATAACCGAGAAGAAAACATTCCAAAATCAATAAAGACAATGTCGACCACTCAGGGTCAAGTCGACAATGTCGAATTGAAAAACATCCCCATCAGCTAGATCAAAAGTTGTCTAAGGGTTGTTGACTGGTGGAACTTCAGACCATTAGCTTATTGAGTTAAAGAAAAAAGCAAATTGAGGTTTGAAATAATTTGAAACTTTTATAAATATGAGCAAGTTTCTTTATTTTTCGGAACGTAAAAGGTTTCGTAGCAAAATTAAAGCATACTTTTTTCGAATGAATCTCTGCATTTAAAGTGTAAAACAATTTTCAGGTAATCAGATACATAATAGGCTAAATTAAATTTCAACGTAATTTCAAGCACCCGATTTCCTTGTCTATTTTTGAGATTATTGAGACTCACGCAGTAAAGAGGATATTTTTGTATCCTATGAATTACAGTATCTTTTTTGAGATGCTATCCGCCGAAGCTCATACAAAGCAGATCCACTAATGGATACATTTTAAATTACCATCATAAAATTCCAAAGAATTCTAGACGCATGATCGGAAATGTATTTGCATGCCCCGCATCTACGAATGCAGGAAAGAAAAAATCAAACCTCGATTTTCGAGAGTTCAGATTGCCAAAAACCAAAATACGCCCATCTACACATTCGCTGCTAAACACGAGACCAGTCCTTACTCAGGAACACGGAATATGTATCGTAACTCCTTCTTATGACCTTGGCCCACGTTTATGTGCAGAAAGCAATGCCAAAAATTAGCTCTCGTAACGTGCCACTTCCTCTTTTCCCCCCAGACGCCTTCCGACGCCTCGTTCAATCTCATTAAACCAGACGTGAAGCCTCTCCCTCGTACAAAGGTAATGCTGTCAATTTGGTAGTGCGAATCCTCGTCTGGAATTCGCCGTACTACTCAAGGCTTGTTCGCTGTACGCGACAAAGACACTGCCAACAACAATCACGCATTTTGCCAGAACAAGTTCCCCATGTATTTGCCATATTCGGGGTTGGAGTCGAAGGGACTGACCCGAGGATATAACCCCGGGATCTGTTTAAGATCCCCGAACGGCTGATTCCGTCTCAGGGAAACCGTGAAATTATGCTACTTCGACGCACCAAACACTTGAATGCAGGGAAAATACGTCTATCTGAAGAGTATGCGACGAAAAAATATTACGCATAACGACAATATTACGAATAAAAATGCACATGAAGACAAGACAGCAAGTGAAAAGGGTCAGGAATTGGAATTGATCCATCAAAAAATATTTTCAAGTTAGTGTGAAATCGTAATACTTTAGAATTAAAATGAATGAACATTTGTAATAATCTATACAATTTTGAGCTCTTCGCTTTTGTGAAATGCATACGCGTCAATGACAAAAAACGCCACAAAACTCTACTACAGTATACAGTATTCTCTTTTGAATTGATTTAAAAATATAAAAAAAGTTTAAACTCAAAGCTTGGTAAATTTAGGAATTTTTCGATTGGAAATACTTCTCAGTTCCTTTTTAATGATACAATTTGGTTTCCTTGTGATGCTCTCGTAAAGCAGGGAATCAGAGTAATCTCCTCTGGAAGTATCTCTCTGCAGGAATTTTTCTGAAATGTTTTCGAAAGTTCTCGCGGATTCATCTTGCTCTTCTGGATTATCTTTTTCTGGACATTGAGGAAGTTGCAGCTTTTAGCTGGACTTTGCTGCGGATAAGATAATTATTCTTTCGTGATGTTTATCTGTTGGAAATTCTCAAATAGATCCGGCCAAATCAGTATTTGAAGGAATATGCTGATGCGGCTAAATTAAATACGAAAAGGTATCCAGACCAATTGTTCATATCTGAAGTCTGCAACGTTAATACAGTGTACTGTTTAACGAAAGTCTGTATATACTGAATTCGATTGCACTTTCATGCGAAGCATCAACGGAATCCAAAACTTCGCTTCTTTCACAAAAGATTTTAATGGCAGCTTTTTTTCAACTGAAAAGACTCGTTCGAAAAATGAAACTACAGTACAGTATACGAAATTCATCATCCGAAACGTGTTCAATCGATGTAGAGCACGGAGTCCTAGAATCATGGCCCTGCCCATCGATCAAGGGTTTCTCGTTCAGTTCTTCAATATAATGAACATTCTCAGAACAAGGGACAAAAGATGCAAAAATATGTAACTCTGGAGAAAAAATAATTTAAAAAATAGAGGGCGACGACGATTCCGTCGGCGAGATACGGAACAAGAGGTACTGGAAAAGCTTTGGCACGAATTCTTCTCGAGGTGCACAGGGATCAGATTAATTTACGGATCAGCCACTTTGAAACTTCGAAAAAAGGATACTTTACATTCTTTTTCGTCTTTTTTGTGTGTGTGTGTGCATTCTTGGACCAAAACAGAGGGCACCTTTTCTTATTATTTGACACGATTTCCCCGAGTTGTCCTCATCGAAGTGCATGTTAATGCTCATCAAGGCCTGTGCTCAAAGCTCTTTCGCTTTCTTCATGCCGATTAACCAGAAGATGGAAATGAAAAGTTCGTGTGCCAATATCATGATAAACGATCGTGCATTCACGAGGAAACCGACGAGGATGCCCAAGAACCATTTTTTCGGGGGGCTTTTAGACCAGAATTCTTTGACGTTCTCTTTCCATCAAGTATTTCAAGTATTTTACCAACACCATGCAAAAGAGTAACTTTTAAACAAATGGTTTTGGATGTCTCAGCACTCAGCGAAGTGAATTGGCTTACGGATGAGCGAAGGCGGTGGAAAGCTGGAAAATCAATTTACGCCTCCGCGTTGAAGGATCCTTTTTTCATGTACTTCCCCCCCCCCCTCAAAAGTGTGCACTGTCGAAAATTGAATTTGAATTAAAAAAAAAAAGCTCACGAGATTCGGGACAAATGTTTAGCAATAAAACGTTGTTGGCATATTCAGAATGTTCTTCTCCTGAAATGATCGATTACCTTGTCGATTCATCATTATGCGGTTTTATGATTTATTTTTGTCACGAGGGGCTTTCGGAACTAGAACAGAGAAGTGGCATTATTCTAAAATTGAAAGAAATCACACTGGTAAAAAAAATTGCCACGGCATCTTGGAGTAAATCTTAGACAGCAAAAAATCCTTCAATTGAATGTAACACCATATATGGAATTTTTTTTAGTTCGACCTCACTGCTGCTGCCTGCTCGGGAATAATCAAAGACACGTGGAACCAAGACAACGTATTCAGAAGCCTTTCCAATTTTCAATGTTTGTCTCAGAATTTTATAAAATCTCTGCTTTACTTTTCCAATAACAGTCAAATTCGTAGAATGGATATTCAAAAAATAAGCTTCATTTCTCAGATTTTCATCATGTGATGCAGTATCTTGAATTTTTCAGAAGGTACAGCAGAGGATTAAGGTTCGAAAATTGGTCTTATTTATTTTTGGTGCACCTGTTGAAAATAATTTTCGGAAACCTTTTGGCGCAAATTCACGCAGTCGGTCACACATTCTTGTCGCGCGCAAAAAATGTCTCTGCCGCGGGTTTAATCGACAATTTGAATGGCATTTTTTGATGTGTTTATCAGCTATCCTGCGAAAAAAGTGAATAATGAATGTCGTGCCATCTTCTGTCACGGAGTTACGCGAGCCAAATTCAAGATGCACGCAACTTTTTGTCGGCGATCCCATCCATCTTATTCTAAATACTTCGCTGGAAGTTACAGGCTAGAATGCATTGTTGGGTTCGCGGCATTCTTTCCGAACATTTCTCCCGTAGTTTATTTCGCTGTTGATCATACAGAAACGGGTTATTGTTTATATGGCGTATATGCGGAAAGATTTTATTTCTATTGATTGAAAGCATTTAAGAATCTTTCGAAATTTTTTTGACTGTATAGGCCAAGACAACAAATCATTGAGTACAGTACACTCCACAGACCAGTCATGCAGGTACACTTTCATTCCTTTGTGACGAGGGACAATTGCAAAGCAGGAAGTGAACTCTCTGCATCGCTTGAGAAAAAGGAAGCAAAAAGGTAGAAGTATCAACAAAGGGTTCTTTCTGCGGTTCTGTGCCAATGGTTGCAATTTTTCGTCCGTCAAACCGCTCAGACGGAATCCAATAGAATCAGAGAAAGAACCCCCTTTCGAAGATCTGGAATAACCTGCAACTTTATTTTTGAAAATACTTTCAAAGAGAGTGTCGAAGTCAATCTTCAGGGGTATTTTTTATTTCCTCCATGAACTGACATATCTTGAGGATTGCTTGACAATTTAGTGGGATGAATAAGAAATGAGCTCGCCAAATGTTTTCTGAAAAATTGTATATATCAAAGGATAAAAGACAGCGAAACATATTTTTCAGCTAATGTTCCTCGCTGGTATTAAAGACTGAATCCCTGAAGAATTAAAAATTGCTTTCTTGCGATATAGTTGAAATTCATTATTTTCTGCAATTAATTTTCTTTCAAAAGCGGTGATGAACCAAGTTTTGGTTATGGCAGAGAGCAGTTTTCCTTGCCTACTTTTGAAAAAAAAGGTTCTTCATTCTCTCAATGATGCTCATCCCCTGAGTATAATCATCGAAATGGTCAATTGTCATTATCAGGACAAGAATAACGGAAGTTCTCTGATGAGTTGAGAGGCCACAGAAAAAAATTAATCCCAGAAAGGGAAATTTTCCGAGATGCACTAGAATACTAGATGATGACGAGGTTCATTTGATGAGAATTACTCTAGTGCCGCGTGTTCTTCGAAATTTTTCGAATTGCAGTAATTATGAAACCTTTGAATACTACACCGGTGATTTTCAGAGTTCCTTGAAGATTATTCAAACTTTTGTTTGTGATTTATATATTTTTTTTCCAAAGCCCATTGAAAAGCGGAATTCCGGCCATGGCAGAGGACAGTTTTCCTTAATTACTTTTGGACAGACACTTTTCTTCATGCTCTCATCACTGATGCTCCCCTGCGTAATCCTCAAAATGGTCAATTATCATTATAAGGACAAAAGTATAAAAAACAAGAATAAGGAAAGTTCTCTGATAAGTTGGGAGGCCACAGACCACAAAGGGTGAATTTTTTCGATTCGATAATTGAGCTTCATTTTATGAGAATTGATCTATATAATGCTGGGCGTCCTTCAAACATTTGTAAAAATCCAGCTGCATTTCCGAAACTTCCAAACGACAACATGATGTTTTTCGAACTTCTCCAGGAGGCTTCATCATTAGATTTCCTGCAGCTTATTTTAAACAAGTGACGATTAAAATAGAAATTCCGGCCATGGCAGGGGGCAATTTTTCTTGCTTACTTTTAGACAAAGAAACTTATTTCATCTTCTCATCATTGATGCTACCCTGACTCCCTGAGTAATCCTCAAAATGGTCAATTATTACCGCCAGAATAACGGAAGTTCTCTGACGAGTTGGAAGGCCGCAGAAAAAAAAAAAAGAACACCGAACCAGAAAGGGTCATTTTTCGAAAAGTTCATTCCTCGTAATGGACGGAAGTCGTCGCGTAGGATGAATGATGAAATTGCTCACCTCGTGAACTCGGAGGTTTTCTGCCACGCTCCGGTGGATTTCATCCGCTCCAGTTGACCGTGTTTGAAGGCGGCCACGAGTCTAAAGACCAACGGAACGCGGACAGCGTCGTCACTCTCGTCAGCATTTGTCCACACTGCCAAGTCCGCGTCGGTGAGCACGATGGACCCAGAATGGGTCAATGCCGCTGATTCCGGGCCCCGGGTTCCGCCAACTGCCTCCCCGGATTTATCCCCAGCACCATCACCTGCGAGCGTGAAATCAGGAAGCATCCAGCAAATTATAGGGAAGAAAACAACCAGTGAAAGATTTTTTTTTATCCTCTGGCACCAACTGGAAACTGGAGGTGAAGTTTCACAACATTTTTATTTTTTTATGGATTGATTTGAACCTCAAGAAGTCAAATATTTTCCTAAGCCGAATATTTTTCAAGTCCCGTCTAAATTTCTTTCAAAACAATGTATTAAAAACCTCTCTAACTTGCTGGAGGCGTTTCCTCTCGAGCCTCCATAACTCGAATTTTCTGAGACCTTCTGGCTATTATTTTCTTGAAACAGGAAAGAGAAAATCAATGAAAAATAACGACGTGTTTTGAAAGGAAGCGAAGGACTAATTGGGCAAGTGAACTCATGCCTCCAATTCTATCATAATGTCAACTAATTTAAGGAGCAATTCAAGGCCCAGAATCTAACCATTCAGAATCTAACCAGGAAATTACGATTTCCTGCAATTCTTTCATGTTTTCCGCAACAAAAATGCTTGTTTCCCAAACATGGAACTTCCATAACTCGAATTTTGTTGCTGGTCCCTTGAAATTTAACTCATTGAGAGTTTCAACTGTATGAAGATATATATGATGATTCTGGAACCATCACTGGCTTCGGGGCTTTCATCTCACCCCCAATGAACCCAAAACTAGAAATTAAGGAAATGGAAATTCACTACCTGCTTTCTTCAATTGGATTCGTTTCAAGTGTGTCAGGATTTCAAAATAATCAGAAACCCCCAGGCAAGGGCACCGTTAGCCTGGGGAATGTTACTACTTACCTTACCAAATTCCCTTCACTGCGAATTGAACCACTTCCCGTGAGGATCCCCCCAGCCTCAGATTTTTAGCGGGCTATATACGGAACTTTGTATCCGTCCCTTTTTTAAGGGTGGGCTGGGATTTATTATTTGGGCCAGTGAAGGGAATTTGGTAAGGTAAGTAGTAACATTCCCCAGGCTAACGGTGCCCTTGCCTGGGGGTTTCTGTTACTACACCCTAACCAAATTCCCTTCACTGCGAATCTTGAGAATCGGATACAAGGTCCGTTCCCAGGATATTAACGAAAGACGTTAAGCACTTTTGAGCAATTTTATTGCTTTTGCACATCTACTGTACACTTTTCACATCGTTGCCGGAAAAAAGTCATAAAACGTGTTTTTCACATATATACACGTTGCGTCGCCGTTTTACAACACTCACTTGACAGTGCTGCGCAATTTGACATATCTGCGCAAGTTCGGCGTGCAATTGCCTCTTCCGGCACACTTTGTTTTGGTTTTTTCATGTATTTGCGCTTTCTGACTCCCCCCTGTGCTTCCTTGCTTTTACCAGAAAGATCGTTTTTTAAAAGCTTTTTGGGATCTATTTTTGGAGTGCTTCCTGTCCTTGTTTGAACAGGGGTGCATCTTGCGCATCTGCTGTTGCAAATTTTCTGAAGCACTTCTGCAGAACCAAGCATATCGAATTTAATAGACCTTTTTCCGACAACTTTCGATTATAATATTTTTGGAAAGTTGATTCTTGCTTCCAGCCAGTCAGTTTGGCGATTGAATCAAAAGATCTGTTTTTTGCCCATGCAGATGATGCTGCTGCTGCTCGTGTTGAGCCTGGCGTATCATGTATTTTCATTTTGTCAAGGATCTTTATGAGCCATTGTCTTAATGTGGCTTTTTTCACTCTTTGTCCATTTTCAGCTCTGACAAATAGGTATTCTGATCGCTCCAAAAATTGCGTGGCTTTTATGTATCTTTCCACCAGATTGATTGGACAGATTCTTTGATCCTGGCTATATGGTGCCACAGTTATGCCAGCTTTTGTTCTTTTTGATGCCAAAGATGTTTTCTGGATTTCGAGGAAAGGTATAAATAAATCGTTGCCCTCTTTCCTGATGTTTTTCCCTAATTTCAAAATATCATCCACTCTTAGTCCAGTCGCAAGTGCTAAGATAATTACTGTTTCTTGGGCTTGATCCAGGATGGATTCTGGATATGGTGTTTTTTGTATATTCCTTAGCACAGATTCAGCATCCCATATGGCATCTTTTTTCTCAAAGGTTCTGGTTGTTCTTTGTGCACCCTTCATGAATTGCTCTAGGGTGTTTTGATTGATGATGGTAT